AACCCACTTCTCCCTGTGGAATGGACATATGAGAAGAGTTTATTTCAATGACCATGAAAGCAGCTGAAGCAGGTGCTGTGGAGCACTTAGAGCTTGGTAAGACCTAGAGAACTCCAGGTCACCCACTGCATCCCAGACCATCGCCGGTTATCTTGACTTCTGTCTTGCCGCTGGACTTTGACTCTGGAAGAGAGAGTGAGGCCAACGACTCTGTGCAACTCTGCCTCAGATGGAGACATCACCTGTGATGCCTCATTGGTCCTCTTTCTAACAAAAGAGGAACATAACAACAGCTGCATGACCTTGGGTCTGTTTCCTCATCTCTAGAGTGAGGAGATGGAACTAGATATCTTTAAGATCTAGATCTCATGGGGGCAGCTAGGTGGCACAGTGGATAGAGCTCCATTCAGCCTTGGAGTCAGGAGGACCTGTGTTCAAATCCAGCCTCAGACATATAAAATTTACTAGCTGTGTGACCCTGGGCAAGTCACTTAACCCCAGCTGCCTCACCAAAACAAAAACAAGATCTAGATCTCATGATCCTTTGTGCCATTGTACTCAGTGTTCTGGTTATTCTAAGTCCCTGGAATAGTCTCCTGGTTCTTGAGTCTGTCAAGCTGCCATATTAGTGTTTCTGAGCTGCCTTCTCAGAATTTTCATGTCCTTCTGCAGTGGAAACATGAGCACTGATGAGCTTCTTGACCACCATTTGCCAAATTCTGCCATCATTGAGTATCCATCCCACTCTAGGCCTGAGTCTGATGAGTAATGAATGTTTGTCTCTTCCAGCCTCAACTTAATTACTTAGGAAATAGAAAAGGCTAGGGCTGTGATAAAGGTTAAGGAAAGAAACTCCTTAAAATTCTCCATAGTGACAAATGGAAGAAATGGAGAAACTGGAAGAAGGCAGAAGTGAGATAGAATGGAAGGAGCTACACAGCAGGAGCTGGGAGAGCTGGTCTCTGGCTAGAACTTTATTTCACCGCTCAAATGAGTGAGTGGGACTGGAATGATCTCTATGGTCCTGGCAGCTCTCCCAGCCTTTCTTCTGAGGTCCTTTCCAGCTCTGGAAAGGCATTCAGTAGCTCTGATCAGGTAGACTAAAGCGGGCAGGTGAGGAAGTAAGTCAAAGCGAAGTGTATAAGGGTGTCTAGATTTATGGGAATAGGAGGATAAGAGAGGGATCCTTGGGGAGGGGGGTTGTAGGTTAAGTCATAGGTAGGGCAAGGTATCAGGTAGAGGTAAAGTAGAGGAGTCAGGAAGGATAGGAAATTAGAGATATGCACAAACATAGAAACAAAGATCAGGAGTAGAATTTGTTAGGGAAAGTATATGTTTATATATGTATATATGTGTGTGTGCATATATGTATACATGTATGTATATATAAATATATCCACGCTTAATTGTAGGGGCGAGGGAGAAGGGAAAAACAACAAAGTAAAAACTTCCGCAGTAGAGAACAAAAGAACTTAAAAGGAAACGAAGAAAACATGGACAACTCTCAACACAATGTGTAGTATTTATTATATTGGCTTTCTTGAAATGGAAATTTATTGCTGTGTATTTTGAATCCCCTTGTATTCTGCTGTGCACATAACATATTTGTCTTTTATTTTCTATTTAAGTTGATATGTTTCTTTTTCGTTTCTTATTGTGTATTTATGTTTTAGTATTTTAGTCTAAAATAAAAAAAAAAAGAGGCTTAGAAGCCACTGAGTGATATAGTCATTAATTACTCTTCGGAGATCAGAGTGGAGACAGACCTCTGAGTTGGGGCAGGGTGGGGCTGGGCCTGGTTCGGGCCTTAGAGGGACAGTAGAACTTAAATAGGGAAGAGACCAGAAGAAGGCACTCCGTGCAGGAACACAGAGAAGACGGAAAGCCAATCAGTCTGTAGCAGGCACAGGTAGGGAAATAACGTTAAAAAGTGTTGTGGTCTAGTAGACCACTGGATTTCCATTCATAGACCCTGGGTTCAAATCTCTGTGACATAGGACAAGTTATTCCTTCTCTTCGGGACAGGGATCTTTTTCATTGCTTAACCTTCCAGGGCTGTTTTATGGGATAAATCCTTGAGAAAATGAGTTATAATCTTGGAAAGATACTTTGTTGGTAGCTGGCTATGAGCTTCTTATAGCTTGTTTTTAAATTAGAGTTGTTTGTATGAAGTGCCTTTGTATAATGAGAAGACCTCTGGGACTTTGAGTCATGAGACCTAGATTCAAATCCTAATCTTGATAGCTGTGTTACCCTGGGCAAGTCATTTCCCCTTCCTGATCCCCATTGGCGTCATCTGCAAAATAGAAATAATATTACCCCTCTCTAGCTTTCAAGATTGTTATGGGGACAATGCTTTGGGAATCTGAAACTTCTATAGAAATGTAAATTGTTTTTCCTGAATTATAAGTACCTTGAGGGCAGAATTTGTAGCTTGTTTATCCTTGTTTCCTTCACTATGCTTTGCATGTGGTAGATGATCAACAAGTGGTCTTTGTTCTTGGGGGTCATCTTATGAAAGGTCTTGAATTTAGTCTTTAGATTGTAGGCAGTGGGGGATAAGTTGGGGAGAGGAGGATAGTACAGGAATTAAGGTGTTTGTCCGGAATTGTCATGTGCAAAGTCCTCAGCTTTGTACATCCTGAGAATTTGTAAATGTTTGTTGACTTGATTTGTTTTCATTCTTCAAACACTCATGTTAATGAATGTCTAATATTACTGTCACTTCCCAATGATCTTTTCTCTCTATACTCCTGTCCCCCCAACACACACACACACACCTCAACAGCCACACCTCTGCTCAACCACCTGTCCTCTGAAAGGAGAGAAGCGTTTGTCCGAATCAGTCCTTTGGAGTCATCAGTCACAGGCATTGATCAAGTTATGATTTCTTTCAGTTCTGTTTCTCTTGACCTTATGTTGGTCATTGTCAAAATTATTCCTCTGGTTCTGCTTCCTTCATTGTGTTTCAGTTCATACAAGTTTTCCCTGAATCCTACACATTTTGTCATTTCTTACAGTCTTATATATTCTTATGTATTCTGTCTTATATACAGTCTTTTATACACACACAGAGAGACATACAAAGTCTTATATATTCTGCTGTGATCATATACCACAATTTGGCCAGTCACATCCATTCCCCAGTCAAAAAGTACCTACTTTGCTTCCAGTTGCTTACTACCACAAAAAGTGTTGCTATAAATAGTATTATATAGATAAGACTTTGCACTCTATCTTTGGTCTCCTTGAGGTATACTTTGAAGTGACTTCTCTACATCAAACAGTAAATATTGTTTACGGATTCTTCTAGTGTCCAACCCCTCATTGAGTAGAAGAGGGAACTGAGGCCCAGAGAAGAAAAGTGCCTTGTCCAAGGCCACATAGGTAATAAGTTACCTTACTAGGAAAAACTATGTGAAAGTGTGGTGTGAGATGGATTGTTTCAGCAAGACCTGTTAGGAATGTATCAAAGTGGTACGTGCAGTCATGAGGTGATGAGGGCCTGGACAAAGATGTTGGTAGTGGGACAGGAAAGAAGGGACAGGTGGAGTAACATTAAAGAAAGCTCTACAGGACTTGGTTATTGATTGGATATGAGAACAGTAGGAGAAGTAAAAAAAAGTTGCCATTCACTTTTTCAGTTCAACAGACATGTATTATGTGCAAGAACAAGTGGAAAATTATGGTACAATTAACAGAAAAAGTCCAAAAAGGGAGTTATTTTTAAGGGGCGTATGCATGAGTTTGAGGTCCTGGTGGGATGACTAGGCAGAGATATCCAGTAGGCATTTAGAGATAGAGTAATAGAAGTCAGGTCAGCAGTCAACTCTGTGGATATAGATTTGGGAGTCACTGTCCTGGAGGTAGCAGTAGTTAAATTAGTGAGATGAGTGATCTGAGGGAGACAAAGCCAATGTAGAAGGGTCAATGACTGAGCCTTGGGAGCTGTCTGCATCTAGGACAAGAGGATGCACTATCATGGAAGACAGGAGAAAGGCTGGAGCTTCAAGAAACCAGGGATGGTCGTAGTGTTTGTTGTAGGCAGATCTAGGTAAATGTGACCTGAGCAAAATGCCTTTGGATGTGATCATTGGGACCTGCTTTCTAGAGAGAAACTAGTTTCAGAAAAGTGGACTTCATAAGAGCATAGTATTTATAGCTGGAAGGACCTGAGAGATGTCTAGTCCAATGCTTTCATTTTGCATTTGGAGAAAGTAAAACCTAGAAAAAGAGAAATGACTTGCCCAAGGTCACATGAATAACACATAGCAGATGAAGGATTTATACCCAGGGCCTCTGGCTCCAAATTCAGTGCTCTTTTTACTGTCCTACACTGATTGCTCCTGAAAGCCAGACTGTAAAGGGTTAAGGTATAAGATAAGAAAGCAGAAACAGTGAGTATGGACTTCTCTTTTTAGAAGCTTCGTGACTGGGCTGTCCAGTGTCCTTTACATTGAGAAGAAATAATGCTCATAACAGCTCCTTAACTCTTTAAAATTTATAAAAAATAATACTTTATCAGAGCCCTCTGACATAAGGAGTGACCTGTTAGTAACCCCACTTTTCAAATGCAGAAACTGAGGCTCAGAAAGTGACTTGCCCAAGGGAAGCTTGGCACACAGCTGGCAAATATCAGAGCCAGGCTTCAAACCTAGGCCTGCTAACCAAGTCCAGTGTTCTTTTTTTTCTTTTGGGTCAGGGTGGGAAGAGCAATGATTTCTGTCTTTGTCTGACCTCTCCATGGGAACATCCAGTTCTTTTCCAGCCTCCAGGAGCTACAGTGCACCCTGCCCAGCTCCTAGCAGACAAAGCCTTCCAAAAGTCCTCCCTTGGACAGATATAGGGGATAACCAAAACCCTGAGGGGGAGTGGATACTGGCTGAGCTCCCATCCATCAGTCATCCCTAGCTTAGACCTGTGTCTCTAACAGGAGTGCTTCAACCCGGCATAGTACAGTACCCGATTCAACAGCCTCTCTTCCTCTGTGCCCCCCACAGGCAAGCGGCTCCAGGAATGGTGCTGCGTGATCCTCTGCTTCTCCCTCATCACCTTCAATCTGTGCCATCTCCTGCGGCTTGCCAGCCTGGAGCACACACATCTGGTGCTGCTGGGAATATGTGAGTGTATGAACAAATGAAGACTTTTCTGTGACCTGAGCAGGGGGAGAGGGGAAGGGAGGTGTCTGTGTGGCTTCAATCTGTGTGCGGTGTGTACCTCTAAAACTGTATCCTGGATCACGTAATGCTGACCCCTGGGGAAAAGTGGCCAGGGGAGGGGGCAGAGAAGCAAGCTTATGGAAAGGCAAGGTGGAGTGGTAAACAGAACACTGGATTTGTCATGTATCCTTTCAGTGACTCTTGTCCCTGCTACAAACTGTGATCCTAGACAAATCAGTGCATATCTTTGAGCGCTCTCTCTCTCTCTCTCCCTCCCTCCCTCCCTCTCTCCCTCTCTCCCTCTCTCTCTCTCTCTCTCTCTCTCTCTCTCTCTCTCTCTCTCTCTCTCTCTCTCTCTTTCTCTCTTTCTCTCTCAGAGAGAGATTGCATACATTGATCTCTAAGGATCCTTGTTCTAGTGATGATTTATATAATATGGTTTGCGCGGCACTTTTTTAAATCGTGTAATGTGATCAAGCAAAAGGCTCATGGCCTTGTGCCATTATAGGAGCCAAGAAGCTAAGATCTTTATCTAGATAAGAAAGATTAAGGAAACTGTCCTGGGTATCTTTCTTTCTCTACTATTTGATTAATTTTAGTCTCAGGTTATTTATGAATTTAGACTTTTCCCCCTTATAAATCAAAATCCTCTTTTAAATTCAAGATGTCTTGGGTGGGGGTGAGGCGAAGAGGTAGGATCTGGTAGTTTTTGGCATCTAGCACCGAACATCTGGAGGGGAACCAGGCTAGAATTCAGGCCTGGAAGTCTGAGGATGAGGAGGGTCAAATTCCTAGTTTTAATATGTATTTATTGATTGGAAAAGAGTTGTCAGTGTAGTATAGAGGAAAGAGCACTGAATTCAGAGTCTAAGGACCTGGGTTCAAATTTCTTCTACCTTACAACTTCAAACAAATCACTTCACTTTAGTGGCCTCGAAGGTTCCTTCCAGCTTTCAATCCTGTGAGCATTCTTTTAGGAAGATCTGTCTTGCACGTGGCATAGAGTGAATCAGAGTGAAAAAAAGACCTTTGGAAGGCTTTTGCAGTTGTCCATGTATGTGGTAATGAGGGCCCAGACAAGGGTCGTGATAATGGGTTGGAAAGGAAGGGAGAAATATGGAGTCATTAGAGAAGAATTAGCAGGACTTGGTCGGGCCTGAGGGAGCCCAGAAACTGGCATGGCATAGTAGAAGAGTGAGCCCTGAATTGGGAAAGAGGAAGGCTTTAGATCACATCCTGTTTTTTTCCATTAACTTGGTGTCCTTGGACTCGTCACTTTTTTCTCAGCTTCAGTCTGTCGAGTGAAGAAATTGGACCAGCTGAATTCAAAGATCTGAGAGTTCTGATATTTTATGATTCTATGAGCTTCTTCCCCAAAGGGGAGAAGACTGGAACTCGCTGGCTAACTCTGCCCAGCTGTAACCTCCAGGCATGCGTTTCCTCCTACCTCCCATAGAGGCCATGCAGGGCCTTTAATGCATCCTTTTTACAACTCTGAGGCTTACTATCTGTAGGCCTTTTATGCTAAACCACTTCCTGCTTCCCTCTCTTCTTTTGAGGGGCATGATGGGACCGCTGGTGCGTTTAGACTCACTTTATTTATTTATTGCATGGGTGCTGTGTCGAAACAGCCTAGGTGAGGATGAGACATTTGGTGTGGGGCTGAGAGGAGATTGTTTACTCTTTAACTCTACATTGGTCTGGTTGAGTTTATGACCTGAGGTCTTAGATAACTTGATCAAGGTTCTGTCTGTCTTGTTCGGTGGTCCCTGTAAAACAGGAATTGGGGTTGTCGGAGTCCTGCAAAAAGACTTCTCTCATTCCGATAAGCCACTGGGTAGCAGCTGATAGGCAGGAATTTCCAACCTGAGTTTAGGAAGTTACCTCAGTGTAGTTTAGTAGAAAAGAGCATTGGATTTAGAAGACCAAGTTTCAAGTTCTGGCCCTGCTATTTACTATTACTGTATTATATTAAGGAAGCCAGTTAATTTCTCTGGGCCTCATTTTCCTTCTCTTTCAAGTGAGGAGGTTCTATTAGATTCCATCTAATATCTATTAATTATTTTGAAAGTATTTCCTATTTATTCTGTATATTAAAAAAAGGATGCTTCAATCTATACACAAGAGTTCATCAGTTCTTTCTCTAGAGGGAGATAGCATTTTTTGTCATGGCACCTTTGGAATTGTATTGGTTTATTGTTTTGATCAGAGTAGCTAAGTCTTTCCCAGTTGATCATTGTTACATTACTGCTGTTACTATGTACAATGTTCTCCTGCTCACTTCACTTTACATTAGTTCATGTAAGTCTTCCCAGGTTTTTCTGACACCATTCCTCTCATCTTTCTTATAGCACAATAGTATTCTATCACAATCATGCCCCTTAATTTGTTCAACCATTCCCCAATTGATGGGCATCCCCTCAATTTCCTATTCTTTGCCACCATAAAAAAAGCTGCTATAAATATTTTTGTACTAATTTTGACTTTTAAAGAGGTTCAAAAGACATAGTTTCTGGGTAATTTAATCATTTTATTATTAAGGCCAGCGGGTTATTAATAAAAGAATGGCCGTTTACTAGACCAAAAATGATTGTAAGGATGGACTCACAATAAACAATGTCCTTCTTTGTTCTGGAAGAGGTTGTGTGGTTGTGGTTTGTCCATTCTTTTTTTTTTCTGCTTTTTGGTGAGGTGATCTCGGTTAAGTGACTTGCCCAAGGTCACACAGCTAGTAAGTGTTAAGTGTCTGAGGCTGGATTTAAACTCAGGTCCTCCTGACTCCAAGACCAGAGTTCTATTCACTGTGCCACCTAGCTGCCCTGTTTGTCCTTCATTCTTGAAGAAGACCAGGAGGTCAGGAAGATGACATGACTTGGCAATTGAATTGGATTTGAGGGACAGCAGAGTTGTGCAAAGTCATCAGCCTCACTTTCTCCTCCTGAGCTATTTGGGTCCAGTGACTCGACATTGATCAGGGCGACTGGATATGGCCCTGGATGCAGTGGGAGACTTTTTAAGTCTTTAAGTCTTGGCCTTTTTTAAGCCAGGGTCTTTAAATTCTCACTTTAAGTAAGGCAATGTCCATTAAGCCTTTTTAAGAATTGAGTCTCAAGATGGCCCCTTTAATTTAAAAAAAAAAAAAAAAACAAAAACAAAACTGGGAAGGGAAGACCCTCAGGGTTTCTGGCCAAAACAGAAACAAGTGTTATTTACATTCGTTCTGAGCCAGTCAGGGCCCAAACAATGACCAAGTAGGGTCAGTGAGAGCCAGAGTGATTTGGGGTTAAGGCTGGTCTTTAAGAGGAAAAAAAATTTTTAGAGATTAAAATTTACATTCCCTTGGGCACAGCACCAGCAGGTAAGGGTGTAATACCTTATGTAGACAGAAGGAAGGGGAAGGAAGAAAGGAAGGCAGACACAGACAGATATGTTGCCCAACTGGACAGTTCCAGTATGGTCCCCAGTGGGCAGTCAATCCCGTTTCTGCTCACAGAGATTGCTGTTTGTCCATCGTTCTCAAAGAGGACAACAAGAAGGTGATGCCATGACATGCAAGTTAATGGGTCCTGAATGGGCTTTGCCTCAGTCAAACTGAGTCAAACCTTACCTTGAAAAAGGTCAAGGTGCCCCACTGCATCCTGGGCCATCTCCAGTTGTGCTGATCTGTCTTGACCACTGGACTCAGATGGCTCCAGAGGACAAAGTGAAGCTGGTGGCTTTGCATAGCCCTTCCTCACTTAAATCAAATTCAGTTTATATACCCTTAGAAAACAGTAGGTGGTCATTAAGGGGCTGAGAGAGTGATCCTTGCACAGAAAAACTATCTTTACGCAGTCCACCTGAAGTCCAGCTCAAAAAGGACAAAAGGATCTGGCTCCATCTAAGCTTGAGTAGAACACAATGAGTTTCCCACACCCTGGATTAAATTCCTTGAAAGGTTGGGTAGGTCAGTAGGATCTGACTGACTGAGAGCCAGGGAAAGTCAATGCAATCTCATTATCAGTAATTTCCTTCAAGAAAACAGAACTTTTTAAAATTAGGAATTTAGAAAGAGGGGAGACCTCTGAATCTCCCCAAGATATTGGTTATTAATATAATTTCTCTCAATAGAAGTCCTTTTCTTTTTCCTTTGATCTCTTTGGGATACAGACCTAGTGTTGCTGTGTCAAAGGATATGCATTGTTTTATAGCCCTTTGGGCATAGTTCCAAGCTATATATACCAAAATGGTATATAGCTTGCTTTGCATATATTTGTTTAAATGTTGTCTCTCCGTTTATATTATAAGCTTCTCTAGGGCAGGGACTGTCTTTTGCCTCTTTTCATACCCCCAAGTGCTTAGTGTAATGCCCAGCACATAGTAGGTACTTAATAAATATTTATTGAATTGAATTAAATCTATTCTAGCTCTAATTTTTATCATCCATGACCATCCGTCACTGTCTCTGGTCTTTGTGGGCTTGGTACTCTTATGCATTAAAGATTCCAAAGAAGCACCTGGAGGGAAGGTGTTTTCAGCCTTAACATGTCTAAACACCTCTGTAGGTGGCCTTGAACTGGCCCAGCAGCCTTTGCTCCCCTGGTTGACAGCAGAGGATGGGCAGTGGGAATGCTCAGGGCTGCCTCAAGCAGTTGCCTGGGGACTTCTGGATTCTTATTCCTGAGCTGACTATTGAGAGCCTATCTTTGTATGGGAGAAGTCAAAGACAAATGAGGGAACTGACACAACCCTGTACCTTTGGCTCCTTTCTGGAGTGGCTTCCCAAAGTCGTCATAATGGGTTAGTGACTGGGAACATACACGTTCCTGAGAGTGGCTTTCTGGCTACTGGCAGCCCTGGCACCTAGGTCTCTTTGAAAGCATAGACAACACTAGCATGGCTTAGTTGTTTAAAAAAAAAAACTGGTCTTAGAGTCAGAAGATAGGTTCAAGTCACAGCCATCTGCTGCGTGTGTGTGTGTG